TCTCTCCCTCTCTCTCTACATGTTCTCTGTTCTCCTATCTTTCTCTCTCTCTCTACATGTTCTCTGTTCCTCTCTCTCTCTCTCTCTCTCCACATGTTCTCTGTTATTCTATCTCTATCTCTCTCTCTCACTCTCTCTCACTCTTTCTCTTGCTCTCTCTCGCACTCTTTCTCTCTCTCTCTCACTCTTTCTCTCTCTCTCTCACTCTTTCTCTCTCCCTCTCTCTCACTCTTTCTCTCTCTCCCTCTCTCTCTACATGTTCTCTGTTCTCCTATCTTTCTCTCTCTCTCTACATGTTCTCTGTTCCTCTCTCTCTCTCTCTCTCTCCACATGTTCTCTGTTATTCTATCTCTATCTCTCTCTCTCACTCTCTCTCACTCTTTCTCTTGCTCTCTCTCGCACTCTTTCTCTCTCTCTCTCACTCTTTCTCTCTCTCTCTCACTCTTTCTCTCTCCCTCTCTCTCACTCTTTCTCTCTCTCCCTCTCTCTCTACATGTTCTCTGTTCTCCTATCTTTCTCTCTCTCTCTACATGTTCTCTGTTCTTCTCTCTCTCTCTCTCTCTCTCTCTCCACATGTTCTCTGTTATTCTCTCTCTCTCTCTCTTTCATCCTCTTTCTTTCTCTCTTTTTTTCACTCGCTCTCTTACTTTCTCTCTGACGTTCAATCATTCTAACTCCATTTGTCAACGAGTAAATAATACTATTTTCCCTCTTCTCTCGCTCTCGTCAATCTTTACTGATTTGCTTCGTTTCCAACGGCTTTCTCTTTCTCTCTCTCTCTCTCTCTCTCTCTCTCGCTTTCTCTTTCTCTCTGCCGTATTGTTCAGATAAAATCGTATTTATCTCATCCTCGTACTGTAGGAACTTAAGATGGTGACTTCGGTTCACGAAGTCCCAGAAAAATCAAAGTGTTCTCGTTTGTCGTATCCTGCGTGTCTCTCGGTATACATGTAGAAACTGTGTGCCCGTACAGCGGTAGGTAGGTAGGTAGGTATTATCAATGTAACAGTGTAGTTTTTCAAATATAGTTGCGATCGCGGCAGCGACGGTAGAAAAAACTATGAATCGCGGAGGCAGCGCGAAGTTATCGCGATAATGACAACGACGACGACGACGACGACGACGATGACGGCGACGGCGACAATATATAAATAAGAACGTGCGCGATATTGTTGCATCGCTGATAACAATAGTAATGACGATAAACCTTACTTAATGATTAACGAATAAAGAAATAACGGACAACGTTCTATGAAAGAGTATCTTGCTAAGAGGATCGTTTCGGCCGGGAGAAGCGGTGCCGCGGAAACGAAGTTCCAAATGTTCGTGAGTATTTGGCGTGTCCTTCAGGATATAGTAAATTCTCTCTAATTTGGGAAGAGGTCGGCTCGTTTTTATAGTCGCTGACTTTATAGTCATAGATTTATATTGGTAACGTATAAAAACGAGCAGCAAGGCTCGAATAACCGTATCTCCTCTTCCCAAAAGTTGTCCATTTTTCCGCACAATCTGACCGTCGATTAGGGAGAATTTACTGCGTTACGCGTGTCAACGACTAGGCCAGCATATTTCTGACAAGCGTCTGTTTCTATCGAATATTACATTATTCCCGATTTCAAATACAACCGAGGACACAGTACGGTAATGATCGAATGCCAGGAAACGTAATCAGAGTCTGATCTGCGTTATCAGTTTATCTGCAATGTCCTGTTCGATTTTCGTGTCCCGGGGCACCGTTTCGCCGTCGGCCAGGGTAAAAAATCAACGTTCGTCGGATGAAACATCGAACGCGCGGCATGCGTCAGAAAACAATGAAAAATTAATGATACCACGATAGACTTAATGATATGTCGTGATCGTATCTCGTCAGGAGCGCGATCGAACTGATCGGTCGCGATCTATCTGTTAACTAATGCTTAATAATCGCAGCGTTTACGATGCCGTTACATCACGTAATGTATAAAAAAGAATGTTAGAAATACTAATCATGATAATAATAATAATGATAGAAAGAATAATAGTAATAATAGTAATTAATAATAATTAGAATAAAAGAAAGAATGAGAATAATAGAAAGAATATTGATAGAATAAAAGAATGAGAATAATAGAAAGAATATTGATAGAATAAAAGAATGAGAATAATAGAAAGAATATTGATAGAATAAAAGAATGAGAATAATAGAAAGAATATTGATAGAATAAAAGAATGAGAATAATAGAAAGAATATTGATAGAATAAAAGAATGAGAATAATAGAAAGAATATTGATAGAATAAAAGAAAGAATGAGAATAATAGAAAGAATATTGATAGAATATAGAAAATAATAGAAATAATATTGATTATAATAGTGATAATAGTAATAGTTGACCCACGTAAGAATCAGCAACTGTATTGGTGGATGCGTAACAAACGATAATGATAACGCCCAATGCAATTTGTGCTTCTTACCGTTTCGAATACAACCTTTCCACCACATCCTTCCAATCCCCCCTCCCCCACTATTCCCCTCCCCGCGATATCCACGTGCGTACGCGTATCCGAGATTTAATAACGAATTAATAATTATTATTCGGGCAACCCTTATTAATCGGTTTCGCTACCCTTTAAAACTTCAACTAACTTGTACTACACGCAACGATGATGCGTACATCCCGCGGTAATAAAGAGCAACCAATCGATACGCCACCCGTTCCCGGTCTCTTTTTCTCTATCTACAATCTTGAGTGCCAATGACAATCTCGATAGTTTTCGCGTGTACACACCAGAGTCTCGAACGATTCCTTGTCGATGTTGCGGGCCCGACCGGTGGTCCGATCGTTGGGTAGACCGATGGCCCTACCGGCGGCCCGATCGACAACAAATCGTCCCGAGTCCCGTGTGTTCGCGCGCGAAGTGCTTTCAACATGCTGCAACATGGTCTACGACCAATAGGGTAGTTGATTCGCGACGGAGAAGCAAGTGAGAAAAAAGGGAGACGTTTTCTCCTGTAACGCTACGTTGCAGGAAAATGGAAATGCGAATGCTTGTCCAATAGGACTTGGCGAACGTACACCTATCCGTCATTCCTCTTCTTTTCCAGCTTGCTTCTCGTCTTCCGCGCGAATAATCGCCTCCCGATTCAACACGATCTTGGAAACACTTCGCACGGCTCACCGTGTGCACGTACTCGCGAATAAGCGACGCATGTTTCCTTCACGTAACTTTCAAGTCTATTCCTTTCTCTCCCTCTTTCTCTCTCTTTCTCACATACTCACACAGAGTTCCGCGCGCGCAATTGTGCTCTTACTGTCGTTCGATCATCTTTCGTGATCTTTCGTTCTCGATATGCTCGATCGTTCGCGTTCTTTCTCTCTCACTCTCGCTTTCTGCTCACTCTATCCAAACCCGAAAATCTTCCTATATCATCTCCCTTTCAGTATGTACCAGAGCCACGAAAGAGCACGCTCTAATGTGCCGCGGTCGAGAGCGGATCGGAAGTCCGTTCCCGATCTCGTAAAGAGCTTCTACGAACAACGAAACAGGCGTAAGTTTCATTTCTCCATTTCGTTTGTTTTTCTTTACTTTTCGTTTTCATTAAAAAGAGTATACCTAACTAACGTACTGATCCTTTCTTGTATTTCCCCCCAGTTAACGGCAAAATAATACTGAAGTCTGCACATGGGTGCCTATCACATATGTCTATTACGTAGTCTCTTTCTGGCAGTCGCTCTCATACACATGCGCACGATCATTAAATTTTATCTGCATCTCTATCATTACGTACAATTACAAACGTTTACCAAAGGGAGACACGCGTGCGCGCGCCTCCCTTTCTCTTTCGCTCACACACGCGCACACGATCTCTTTTTCACTTTCTTTCTCTCTCTCTCTTTCTCTTTCTCTCTCTCTTTCTTTCTTTCTTTCTTTCTATTTCTCGCTTTCTCTTGCATGATCAGTCGATCTCTCGCTCACTTACTCGCGCACGCTCGTTTTAATTTCTCCTCCGTTTCATTGGTGTTCTCGCACGCAATCTCCCTACAGTTTCTGATTTTTCGTTCTTCCGCAAGAGCGCCACAGCTTGTTTCGCTCTTCCTTGCGTCAACAGAGTTGATAAAAAATTGTTAAAATCATTTTCGACGTGGCCGTACCGCTTCGAATGTACCCTTCGGAAGCATTGTCGTACTTTACGACGTACGTTACCGACGAAAAAAAAAAATTAACATGAAAACGATTGACGAACGCATTATAAAAATAAATTAGACTACCGTTCAAGCTAAGTCAGAGAAAAGCTATTGTCAAATTTCTTATCGCGCAGGGGTATTGAAAACGCATAAAATAAATAAAGTACTGTTCAAACTATAATACAATCGCGCAAATATAATGTACGAGAAGCAAAACGTGCGGTACAATCCGTCGAAGCAGTTATAAACTCTTTTGAAACACCCTGTATGTATTATATATATATATGTATATATATATAATATCAATAATCAATAATAATATCAGTTTGTATTGTACAGGCTATTTGGGGCTCAAAGCCTGTGGTCTCTCTAATATTTACTTAACCCCCCACCCCCCTTTCTATCGCCGTGTCCATACGCTTTCTCTCGTCATTACATTCTACTTAAGTTATTCATCTTTTGTTTTGTTTAATTAATAATATCTTTAATTTTGCTTTCGTTAGATGCAGCTAGATGTGACAATCATGAAATTAATCACTTTTCCTGCTCCCTTCTTGATTCTCTCACTCTTTCTCTCTCTCGCTCTCTTTCTTTCTCTTACTCTCTCTCTCTCTCTCTCATTCTCTCTATCTCTCTCTCGCGCGCAAATCATCTTACTTTTTTTTATTATTTTCTTAAGTTCTTTAACGAAATAATCATCGTAAATGTATTATAGTTTTACGTTACTTTTTTCATTTTTCTTTATCATTACTTTTACAGTTTAATATGTAGCTTTTTTCTCTTTATCTATCGTAGATTTGTCTGTGGCTATCCCTGATGTGTTAGTTACCCTGCGCTTCCGTCTGGTTATCGAAATATTGTTGCGAAATTGTGGTCTACGATTAAAATTTCAATATTGTTCTTCGTCCGTATCGTATTCACGAATTTTCTTTTTCGTTCGTCCTCTTTCACACCGTATTTCGTTTATTCCTCGTCCCACGTCTATTCTCGCTTATTAAGTTTCGTCTCTATCGTTCCGTTTTCGAACAGGACTCTGCCACCATCTCGTTACGTTCGCCGAGAGCGTGCATTCGCTTCCCCATCGAGGCACTCGCCAAGATTCGCGCGAACGGACGGGATTTCCTTCTCGCGCCGGAAAGAAGAACAAGCGTCGGGGCAGCATCGTTTCGTCCGTCTTCCGAGCGACTTCGCGGGGCTCTCGACCACAACGAGTCGACCGGTCGATTTGTTCGTGTTAAACGTAACAGCGACGCCTGTTCCGACGACGCTCGTCGAATCCCCGGCCGGGATCGCTTTCGAAGAATACAGTATACAGAAGAAGAATTAACGAAGCAACAAGTGTCAACGAATAAGAACCGAGCGTTGTTGTTCCTGTTGTTATTACAGCGATCCCGAAAACATTATTTAAAGATGAAACAGTGCCCGGAAGTGACATCGACCCACCGGAAGCGGTGCCGGATCGACTGGATCACGAACTTCATACCCCATCCGGAGCACGAATCTTGGCGAGCCCCCGCGAGCATCCAGCCCCAGTGACTATAAAATGCAACACCTACCCCTCTCCCCGATCGTAACGTTGTTCTACGAATCAGCGCAGATTAGTTCGTAAGAATTCTTGCGGCGTTCTATCGGTATCGGAATCCAACCGGGCGACGACTCGCGAACGGCTCGCGCGGGAAAGTGACGTACGTGCGGTTTTATCGGTGCAAGCTGTATAATATGTATATCCTCGGTCAACGTGGTTGGGAAACGTATAAAATAATATTTAACTGGAAGCTCGTTTGAACGCGGTCCGCGGAGGCAGCCAAGGGACCATATCCCACGAGAGTTTTACTTAATTAACGGTCCGCGCGACGCGACGGTGATACACGGTGTCGGGTGGATAACGGGTACTGCACGGTGAATAAGAATTATCGCGAATACGAAATGTCACTGAGTAAATAGAAATCGGCGTGTACGTTCGTATATGCTGCATGATTGTCAGAATCTGGTAACTATCGTTTCGAAGCGTTTGGCTACGCGCGCGCGCGCGTGTCGCCTTGCTACCTCCGACCGCGTGTTTGGAACAGGTCATCTTAACAAACTGTATATAGTTAAACGCTATTGTTCAAGTCTTTCGATCCTTACCTCGTGTACATCACAGGCCACCAGGATCCTCGAAGTAGAAAGCGCGTCGTCGTCTCTCTCTCTCTCTCCCTATCGTACGTCACTTTCACGGCGAGCTCGTTCGCGGGTATCCCAAGCCAAACCGGAGTGTGAGCATTTTCCAGCAAATTGCTATTACATACAGCAGCCATCGTATTTACTCAGCCGTTTTACAGTACTATTTGGTATAATCGCTCTTGTAGCAGGAACTATTTATAGTGATGATACGAGTGGTCTCGCCCGCCGGCGAAAATCTCCGCTTCGAAACGCCTCGATGCATCCTGATTAGCCGGAGTGGTACCGCTTTTCCGTCAACTTTTAATGCGTAGAAAGGGTTGTCGCGGAGGTCGGGTGGGATGATGGTATCGGCGGCGGTAGTGAGTAGCGGTGATAGGGAACGAGCACCAGAAAAGACACCGGTGATGACTCTTCCTCTTCTTCTTCTTCCTCCTCCGCTTCCATCGCTTTTCATTGTTCTTCCTTTTTTCTTCTTGCCCCGTGCTGTCTTCGGGGGGGCATAGGCCACTAATTTTAACCAAGAAGACGAAGACCGGGTCGAAGGAAGCGAGACGGATCTCGCTCGTGAGAGAGAATTTCGCCGGCACGCTCGACTGAGTCTGGCGTTTCGCGATCGACGGACAAAGGGGGCGACGTCAATATTTTTGCTGACGGAGAAAGACAGACAAAGTAAGTCGAAAGAAACATGGAAAAGGAAGTGAAACGCAGTGACAGCGTGGCTTAAGTGTGGATTGAGCAGGGCGGAACGTCCGTCGAATTTACCCCGGGAGCTGTAATCGGTGATAGTCAGTCTTGTGAAAAAGAGAACAATCTCGCGGAAAAATCGGGGCCATGTGTATCGGCGTGTATGTGTTTTCTGTGTACGTGTGCGGTTGTCTCTCTCTCTCTCAGTTTATGTGTCTGTGTGTATGTGTTATGTATCCGTGTACCCGATGCGTGCACGAACGCTGGTCGCGCAATGACGCGGGATAACGTGTCCCGTGTGCGCGTGTCGAGTTAAACGGGATGGTTGTTTGATGGGACACTGACGTGTCCGTGGTCCTTGAACAAGGATAATAAATATTATCGCGGATATCTACGATCACGAATAAAGCGACATTTGTTTCTAATCCGAACCGTTTTGTTGAAGTAGCGCGGGCGCCGATTGGGGCGGCTGCGGCTGCAGTGATTCGTGATGATGGTGGTGATGGTGATCGATCGGTGACGGTGTTCGACTATTCCGCGAAGTAGAGAGTTCGCCGCCGCCGCCGCCATTGCCACCGCCGCCCGAGTTCCCGGCTGGTTCGAAGGCCTTCTGTTCGCTCGGCGGTAGCAAATGCACCATACTAACTGGCACGGGGAACGCCGCGGTCGCAAAGTCGGGAAAGAAACCCTGTGGCAGGTTACCACCTAGCAACGAATGATGAGGAAATCCGCTGTCGTCGCCTGGATGCGGTGGTAGACCGGAGAGCGGGTGGGCCATTTGCGTGGGCGGTTGGACGGTCTTGACGTTGTTGTTCAACGAGTTCATCACGACGTCGCCCGCCGTCGCGCCCGTGCAATCCCTTCGGAGCTGCTCGAGCTTCAGACTCTTCCCGTATTTCCCTCGCACGTACATCAGAAGGCTGTTGTACGGAATACCAAAGATTCTGCTCGCTTGCGACGTCGTCATCTTCTTATTCCAAACGTGCTGAAGCGCCTCGGTCAGCTCCGCGTTCGTCCACGACCTCGGGGGTCCGCCCCTGGGCGCGCTGTGCTGACCTTTCGGTCTTCCCACCGGCAAACCCCGACTTCCGTGGTCACCCCATCTGCGCGGCGTGTCGCCGTCGCCCCTGTGCTTCTTGGGCTTCTTTCCTGGATGATGACCGCCTAGCCCCGCCGCGCCGAACAGACCGTGCAGCGTTTCCGGTTTAAAGCTATCGTGGATATCCGCTAAAAGGGATCCCCTGTCGAGAGCACCGGCGTGAGGGAACAGTCCTCCGCCAAGGGTCGCCACACCGTCCAAAGGGAACATCGACACAGAACTACGTCGCGGTGTCAGCGGTGATTCTTGCTGTTGTTGCTGCTGCTGTTGTTGCTGGGACTGCTGATAAGGGTGTGTCCTGCTCGACCCGTGCGGACTACCTTCCCGCGGATGATGACCCGGATGCGGTGGTGGCAGTTGGCTCTGCGGATGATTTGGCAACCATTGGGCCGCCAGCTGGCCCAGACTCGTCAGGTACTCGCTGTGATGATGCGGCGGCGTCAACGACAACGCCGATATCCCTGGAAGGCCTGCTGCAGCCGCCGCCGCCGCCGCTGCTGCTGCTGCAGACGGAATATCTTGGAGCGATCCGTCGGGATGTAACAGACTCGTGCCGGTTAAAGGCGATCCTCGCGGACTACTCGTCGTCTCGCTGCTCTCCGCCTTCATATGATGTTGATCGAGTCCACTCGGTGACAATGTCCTTTTCATCGAGAGATTCTCCGCTATGTCCTCCTGCTGGTGTTGCTGGTTCTGCGAAATCGACGACTGTTGATGGTGTTGGTGATGCTGTGACTGCAGTTGACTGCCGCCGCTCAGGTTCAGTCCGCTCGTCGGTGGGCTCAGGCTAGCCGGCGGATGCGGTCGGCTGAGATCCTGCGGTACGAGATCACTGGATCTTCTCCGCGGCCGGGCCTGTTTTCGACGAGGTAACAACGGCGATGGGCAGCTCTCCCGTAGCTCGCGCATCCCAAAGTTCAAGTGACTCATGTGCGGTAACCTGTCTCGATGATCCCTCGCCGGATGATAGATTGTGGGCGTCGTGGCCGTCATTGGTTCCCGTGTGGATGCCGGCGCCGTGCTCTCCGACGCGTTGTCGTCCTCCTCCGGAGTGCTGTGCCTGGCGCCTTCGGGCGTCGACGGCTCGCCCAGAAGAAGATCGGCGGTCGGCGTCTCCGGCGGGGACGCCGGTCTTGGCTCCGACGACGCCAATCCACGCACTTGCAGACTCTCCGCAGCTCTCATCAGACCGGGCAAATTGTCGCGACCGACCCGCACCTCGCCACGGTACATAAAGTCGATCAGCGCTTCAACTTCGTTTCCAGGAAAGTCCTTCAACACGATCACAGGATGCTTGCACGGGTGCTCCGCAAAAATCCTCTCGAAAAATGGACTGGAAACGCAAATGCATCGTCTTATTACGGAGTTATCGTTATCATGGAATACCGTGCAACCCGTGCTATCAATTTGTCAACGAAATCGTGTCCGACTGTACTGTTTCCTGATATTTCTGTCCGCGTATTTATGCGCGTGCCCGTTTACCGTGTCCGTTACTTTGTACGAAACGAAAATGTATGGGAGCGGTACCGAAGTATGCATGTACGCGTTCCGTACTATCGTCTCCCCCTAACCTTCCCCGTTCTTTTACTTCTTATAAGACAATTATGCTTGATTTACTCCGCTATTATCAGACACGCAACCCTTACTTACAGCAAGAGCCGAGTATACGTATAATCTTTACGATGATTAAAAGAGTTTGAACGTCGTACCAACTACGCGTGTATTTATAGTCTTTTAAACTTGCCCAAAAGATACAAGTCATTCTTCTTTTAACGTGACCGTAACATGTCTCGTTGTGTTCGGAACCTGTGCAGCGAAGATATTTTATTCGGAATTGTTGTGCCGTCACAGTTCAAGGGAATGGAAATGGTCTAAGCCAGACACGGACGGAAATGGTATTTATTTGTTGTCCTCGGTACATACGTATATATATATATATACATATATACATATATATATATATACACGTTCTTCTGACCAGTCGACAAAAGAGGGGCACCATGCTTTACGGACTGAAACCGCGTGCAAAAAGCTGAAGCAAGACTTAGCGTTCTCTTATGGATCGCCAGGTAGCAGTTCTACACGAAACAAGACTTTCGTGTGGCAAGAGCAGCATTATCATCGTGTACTCGACAGAGTCGAAGAGTAAACCGCAAACAAATTTCGCAGAAGGCGACTTACAGTGTGAAGAAAATAGAAAGAGGCGACTCGGAATATATTTTTTAGCAGCAGGGAACTCGAGCCTTGTACATCGTTCAAATTTATCGTTACGCTCGACTTGATCGAATTAAAAAGAGAAAATGAAGCGTTACCAGGTATGCAACGCTGTATTAATCTAATGTTTTGTATTAACGATAAGTGGAGACTAAAATCATGTATGTATTTAACACGAAAACGGTGCAATAAAGAGAAAACAATTTTTAAAATAACTACGAGAAGTCAGTACGAAACCATTATGTTGGTCTTTCGTGCGACTCTGATGTAGTCTACGAACTGATTATGATAGAAATCTTCCGATGGCACTTGTTTTACTCTTGAAACGACACTTTATAGATAGAATGGCAGGAAACAATTTCAAGATCTTGTTTAAATATGCACTAATAAACTCGATAACGTTGAACTACTGTTAACGCATTCTCGTCGGTTCGTTTATCGAATGTAACGTCAAGCACCGAGACAAATACGCGAAATAATGGAAGAAATTGCAAACAGATTACATATTCTGATATAATTAATGAAATCTATCTGGGTTAAAACGTTCGCGAAAGAGATGGTGAAATGTATGCACTTATTTTGAAGCCGATCTGTGACGAATGTGAGGATTCACACGTGCGTCATCCGGGTGCTGGTAAGAAAATCCGGATACTCAAATATGAGTCATCCGATTCGAATGTGTCCAATATAAAGAAGTCTGCAGAGGCTATTGTTAGTTGTGAAATCACAAAATTGAACAATTTTTAACAGATCTCGCGAAAACTGTGCCGCATCTCATTTCGGAGTTATAAATATTTAACGTAAGTTTATCGCCCAACAAAAATTGAAAATTAAAACGATAATAAGTTTTAAAACTCCAAGTATTGTTTACTAGCATTGGCAATATTTTAACTATTACAGCGGAGCTTTCGAAAACGTTTCATTTCGAGAGGATGGAATTGAGAATATTTAAATTTGCTATGATTCTGTCTATACGAGTTTTGCTGCAGTTTCACATAAATAAAAGGAATATTGATATTGTTACTATTAAACGACAGAGTTTGTCTCCGTAGCGACGCTAACAAAGTGCCACGCATGTTAAATCAAGTTTACGGAAATTGTAGAAGTGTAGAAAAGAGAAGGTAAAAGACAGTAGTCGCTATCAATATTATTGCGACATCGAGGGTTGATACCAATTCTGATCGTTTGCTTTCGTACATTCGTTTTTTTTTTACATGTACACATATAGTACCGCCGTCAGTGGAAGCAACTAAAGATACTAATACTAAGATAACATACTAATGTCACGTCACGTGAAATTGTAAGAATGAAATCCGTCCACGCGTGACAATATATGAACAGCGTGAAATGATATACTGATCTGTTTCTAACAGATTTGACACAATAGAAATTCGAATGCCATATGATTTCACGTGACGCGGCATTAGTATGTCTTCACCTTAAATACACGTGCGATATCAACCCTCAAAGTAGCAACAATAGCTGTCTCATCGATTGCATCTACTGCTTTTAACAAAAAGATCATTTTTCTCGCACACGTATCGCATGTTACTATCTTTTTCATCAAGCACAATTAGTCAAATATTGTTGATGAGTAAACGGAAGCAGTTCACACAGAGTCAAATGCAACAACCCCTGTTTCAAAAACAGTTTGAGAATCGAATAATATTTAATTAGTACACTGTACGATGCAAATGAATGGCTCAATATTTTGCACGTGAAACAGGAGATATTTTAACAGACGAAAATACAACTGGAGAGAAATAACAATGATGTGAAATTATCTGTGTTAAGGTAGATAAAACATGATGCGATATGTTATTTTGCCAGGGATACTATACTGATTTTAGCACAAGCAACTTCCATTATATGCGAAACAAAAATGTTCTCAGAAAGAAACGCGTAAAATATCCAGGATCAAATCATAAACGAAAACTAGATTTGTAAATTGTCTTAGAAAAAAGACAAGTTTAAGAATAATTGAATAAAACTACCGACGGATTTACGAATATATAGTATGTATGTAAAGGATCCTAGATACTCTTCAAAATCTCGAAAATGACATAATGTTGAGTATAAAACCCCAGAAAATGGAAGAAAATATGTTTCGTATATCGCTTGCATATGATCAAGAAAACAAATGATTGGGCGCGATATCATTTCAAAAGTAGTGCCGTTTCTATACGTTAACCTTTTTCATTGCAAGATATTAATATTTACCTCTACTTTAAATCATAGCCGGTATTATCCAGCTTTTTATCGGTTAAAAGATGTTTCAATGATTAGAGTAAGTGTTCAGCGGTTGATGGATGCATGAGGAAATGCGGTAGGCGATACGTATTCCTAATTGTAACATGCAATTTTTCTCATACTGTTTTTGCTATATGTTGCTATTCGACGTTACCACGATGGAACAGAATTTCTTTCTAATTCCCTGATAATGGCCGTTTACCCACTTAAACCGCAACTACCACGTTCCCCATGCCTTGTTCAAACCGATTTTATGGTTGTTTCGATTAGTTAGGAGCAATATCGAATGATTTTGATTTCTGAACAATATCAAAATACTCATGGCACAATCTAATACATTTGAGTGGAAATTTATATATATTGCATATATTAATGATGGGTTTTTATGTGAGTGGCTTAAAATCATGGTGATGTAAGTCACATTTTTGACGGTTTCGGCGTATGTCTTGTAAAATATAATCTATTGTATATATCAAATTGTTAGAAAGACAAATGAAGTAAATTATAAAGTTACTATAAATTAATTCAATTCTAAATGATCTTAACTAACACATGTTAGTTTAAAACTTTGACCACAGCTTCTCTAGCGAACAGCTTCTCTAAATCTATTAACCGTATATTATTTCAATCATGAACATTTATCTAGGTGTAAGCAATGAACAAAGATTCGGTGGTATCACCGAATATAACAAAGATGCCGTATGATTCACGCCGTTTGGAAGAGGTTGAAATGAAATTTAAACGTCAATGAGGGAATAAATCCGGAAATGAAAAACCACAGGATGGTGGTGGATTTGTACGAATGCAGAGTTAATTTGCCCTGCTCACACAATTAGTTAGAATGGTCGCAGTCATTTACTAAACATGAAGTACAATTATTTTCTGTCGTTTTTCAAAAATTTTGATGTTCTCCTCCCGAGTTTTATTATTACATTACTTTTCAATTAAAATTGAATATCATTTCATTGCTCTAGTAGGATAACATTCTCTACAAAATATAGTAAATTCTCCCTAATTGTCGCTCAGATTGTGCACAAAAATGGACAATTTGGGAAGGGGAGATACGATTATTCGAACCTTGCGGCTCGTTTTTGTAGTTAACGATTGCCAACAACTATAAAAACGAGCCGCAAAGCTCGAATAATCGTATCTCCACTTCCCAAATTGTCTATTTTTGTGCACAATCTGTGCTTCAATTAGGGAGAATTTACTGCACTTGGTTTCGTTATATTGGATGCACCAGATAGATCAAAATCACCTATTGAAAATGTATTATTATCTCAGAATTACTGAAATAATAAAAGCGCTTCCACAGAAAACTATTGAACACGATTTCATTGGCGCTCTTGCCATAATAAAAATCGCGTTAGATTTTAACATGTACTTCTGTTACTATTGCAAGAAAATACAATCTAGTCACTTTGACGGATCAGTATTTCTGGTGTTAAGACACCCTTCATTTATGTTANGGAATAAATCCGGAAATGAAAAACCACAGGATGGTGGTGGATTTGTACGAATGCAGAGTTAATTTGCCCTGCTCACACAATTAGTTAGAATGGTCGCAGTCATTTACTAAACATGAAGTACAATTATTTTCTGTCGTTTTTCAAAAATTTTGATGTTCTCCTCCCGAGTTTTATTATTACATTACTTTTCAATTAAAATTGAATATCATTTCATTGCTCTAGTAGGATAACATTCTCTACAAAATATAGTAAATTCTCCCTAATTGTCGCTCAGATTGTGCACAAAAATGGACAATTTGGGAAGGGGAGATACGATTATTCGAACCTTGCGGCTCGTTTTTGTAGTTAACGATTGCCAACAACTATAAAAACGAGCCGCAAAGCTCGAATAATCGTATCTCCACTTCCCAAATTGTCTATTTTTGTGCACAATCTGTGCTTCAATTAGGGAGAATTTACTGCACTTGGTTTCGTTATATTGGATGCACCAGATAGATCAAAATCACCTATTGAAAATGTATTATTATCTCAGAATTACTGAAATAATAAAAGCGCTTCCACAGAAAACTATTGAACACGATTTCATTGGCGCTCTTGCCATAATAAAAATCGCGTTAGATTTTAACATGTACTTCTGTTACTATTGCAAGAAAATACAATCTAGTCACTTTGACGGATCAGTATTTCTGGTGTTAAGACACCCTTCATTTATGTTAAAGCCATAACACGTTTTAATATGTTTTAAGAGAACGGCGTGAACGATTATTTGACACGTCGACTACCAACTAGCAATGACAAGAGTTATTAATGAGTGCTATAAAACCAATGTAATTTTAATTAGCAATTTAATTTATCGTCGCTATAATTCGTTTTCAAGTTAAATTTTCGTTTCGAGTAAAATGATAAATAATAATAAATAATCCCGAATAATTACATTGTTGGATGTAAGCGAGGCTTCGATAATATACATAAGTTCCGAACAGAACGTCTGCAAACATTTGGAGGTTAACCCTCTAATGGTACCTTGCATTGTCAGCAAAATTTTCTACAAGTATTATATTTTAGTAAATCTTTTATAATATTTTTGGGAAGATTCAAATGTGTGTAACGCTTCATAGTCACAGGAAACAGTGCTCCATTTTTGGGTTAAATCTTTATTTTGGCTAATTAAGTCGTTTCAATAAAATTGAATATTCTTTTTTTTTTAAATCTTTTGATACTTTTTAACTATACTTCTCTTAGGCTTTATTATCTAATCATATTTATCAATATATTAACACTATGCCGTCCGCAGATCTTAGATATGATTCTTTTGTTTGACGCCGGCATAATAGCTTGGAAATTTTAGATTTCAAAAAAAATTTCGAAGATGGCGGTAATATAAATTCTTAAAATTAAGATAAGCCATCCAAGAATTTTCGTACTTAATTCTCAGTTAAATAAGCACAATGCTATAGTTAGTTTGCTGCCTTTTAACACCTAAGAAATATAGTTCAAATGTTATTTCAGTTTTTTAAAATGGCACCAAAGTGGTACCACCGGCATACAACAGACAGTTTTTGCATGGCACCGGCGTGATGCCACTGGACGGCATAGTGTTAATACTCATTTTCCAAATCTATAAGAACTCATACTTTCATACTTTTATAATATCTTTCCTGTAACGTCTGCATTTCAAATTACAATTTCGTCAAAATCATAGTTGACACAAAAATATTGTGTATCATGCATATCCAGAATAATTTACATTTAGCCTGACCAAACATCTACAAGGACAAAAGTTTCTTGACGGACATAATCATGCTGCAACTTTGAAGACGCAACAACGAAATTTATAAAACACGAACAAAAAAAGAGCGTATAATCTATTTCATTCAAAAATCAATCGAGCATGCAGCGATCTGCCCTACACCCAACACTGTAAACACTTCAGAGGTAGGGGAGACATGATAGTCGTCGCGTTAACGCGTCGATCATCGGTTGATAGGCTGAAACGTGTCGTTTCGTAAAACATACGGAACAGCGAAACGCAGAAAAGAAAACACAGAAGCCATCAATCTCGTGTATCGGATGGGGCCCAGCTTCCCGATAATGGGGGGATGCGATGGACAAACAAGAAAAGATCCTGATCGTTTCATACCTGCAGGCACTAAGGACAACCTTGTGCGCCTTGTAGCTGTTATCGGCGCATACCAGGGTCACGTCGACAAGTATCTCGGCGTGCAGCAACGCCTCGAAAGCTTGGAGTATATGGGTCTGATGATTATTCCACCGTAAGGAATAATGTGACTGCAGAGCCAGCCCATCGGGACTGTCCGCGGCGCTCGACATTTTTTCACCGCCGCTCGTGCCGTTAGCGGAGCCACCTTGCTCCGCCGCGTGCTCCTTCGTACCTCGGGGTCCTGCGGTCGTCTTTCTTTTCCATGCACGCACGCGAGTGGCCACGCACGTATCGTGAACAATGTCTCCCCTTCGACACTATCTTGAACGGCGCTGTTCTCCTGGAACACGAACAAATCGAATCGACAATCAGTCTGCGCCAGCTTTGTACGTTAACACTTTATCGACCGCTAGCCTATTTATCGGCTTTTCGATTGCCAATGTTTATCGATCGCTAGCCTATTAATCGGCTTTTCGATTGCCAATGCTTATCGACCGATAGCCTATTAATCGACTTTTAGCTATCGACGGTTTTCGCTTCTTTACTGTTTTGTTAGTAGCTGACCTCCTGTATGCTGACCTCCCCATATCCTTATGAATTATAATTATAATAATTATTATTATTTATTATTATTTTTAAAGGAATAAGCACAACACAATGAATAGCGAAAATTTAGCCGGTACTGGGAGCAAATGCGCGCGCGACTAAGCCAGTCCTTACTGAGTGGCAGCCTCAACCACGACCGGACGATAAAGTGTTAACAATAGA